CTAGGTGCGTGACGTCATCTATGGACGGCCCCTTATCACGAGTGCTTAGGAATGTCATACTCATCAGATATGATCTATCCAGACCATGTCAGTCATTGGGATTGTTCAGCCACACTTCACCATGCTGCTCAGTAAATATGGGGGTGAGGGTGGGGGGGGCGCGGGGGAGGTTGGGATATGACGTGCCACTGATGTTAGCCGCGGTAGGGACTCAGGTGATCCAGGTTCATAGTGCCACCGCTGCATGTACATGTTGTGCGGGTCGTGGGCTTTTATTTCACAATAATTCACCACGTTGGTCTTGGTGTGAAGGTGGGGAAGGAATGGTGTGTGTACCTGGGAGCATGGTAGTGTACCGTACAACAATTTTGTATGTTTGGCTTTTACTGCCCTCTGCTGCCCACAATTAAGTATTTGCTGCGGCAGTACAAATACCATATCCAAGCGGTAGCCCCTAAGGGGGAGAGATTAAACCATAACCCGAAATAGGAATACCAGCTGTAGCTTAGTGCGAGGAATCTTATGCAGATATCTCTCTATAGCAAAGGAAATGCATATAGGCCAGGAATTATAGCGTCTCAGATGAGGATGAAGTTCCAGATGGCAAACGTACAATTACAATGGGGGCAAAAAACACGCGAATACATCGATGCATTCCCATTACGAATAACATGCCTTGCGGCGGTTGTGCTTTAAAATTAATATCTAAACAATTGTGGGTGAGGAGAGATCTCAACTGGAAGATCCTTTTCCACCCGTGGGGTCATTTCACCTGTGGACGTTTCAACAGCCAATCACGACGATGCCAGTAATGATGATGACAATAACAGGGCTGCAATTTTCATAACGCGCGGCGAAAAATTTCACGGAGACGAAAAATGACCGCGACCTCCGGGGCACGAAGCCAATCTCCGTTGAGCTCGAACGCCGGGCTAGAAAGTGCGGTGCGGCGGTCTTCATCGCAAGGCCCCACGGGTCACTGACAGCCCCTGGTGGTCTTTAGTGCGGCCCCTTGACGTGCGGCCCACCGACAATAGACAAAAATGTGAAAACACACCACCCCCCGTCCACCCCGTGGTGCTGTCAAACCCCCAAATGTGTGACGGCCCTCACGCCCTGATGTCTTATCGGCGAAAGTGGCCTCCATCCGAATATCCGTGAGGAGCACTCGCGCAGAGCCTTTAAGTGTCTCAAGTGCCCTCGAGAAGGGCCGTCTCTCCCAGCCCATGGATCGTGCACCCCATGGATGCTGGGTGGCCGGGTCTTCTCGAGTGCCACTTCCTCGGACCTGCAATGCATTGCCGCGAGCTCCTAGTCTCCGTGTGTTCGTTCAGAAGTGAGTGCGAGACCCACTGTATTGCTTTCTCCCTAAAGTGCATTTTATCGTTCCGTGTTTTACCTGATTATATCTGGGCATTTGTTTGTACAATATGTTTTGGATATCCCCCTTGAGTGCGGGTGATATTACGTTTCGAATAAAAAAAACCTTTCAAACCTGTTTTTTTTTTCCCAACCTTTAAAAGTACGCGTTGTAGATTGAATGCTGTCGCGAAAGTGGATCAGGGTGGAATTCCAAACGTCGGCGGGCTGCCACGCAAGACAAAAAAAACTACGATCGGCAGTGACAGGGCCATGTCCTTGGTAGCGAGATATAAGAAGAAGGTATAATCATGAGACCTTTAATTGAATACCTGCTGAGCATTAACCCCTGGGAAGTGGCCTGGAACGGCAGGAATTAAAGGTCCCCAGGATTAGTTGTTAAAATGTTCAGAGATGACATGGCCATGGTTGGAGAAGCATCTTGTGGTGAGATCTTCCCCTACCCGAAATAAAACTCAACGCATTCGCCAATAACACTGTGACCTTAAAAGTATGTTTTTATATAGACGTCGTTTCGGGCAATGACCCTTCATAGCACGTGAAAAGGACAATGGCCCCCAAACATGTATGTATTATGAAAGAGGTCCATTGCCTAAACCGTCGCCTAGTATATGTATTCTTCAGTTTAAGCCAGTGTTATTGACGAATGTGTTATTTTTCGATTTAAAGCTTTCGTGACTGCAGGGATTCATCTTCTTGGTTCTTTCGGTAAAGTCACGTAGAAGGGAAATAATAAAATAATAAAAATACACACTGTCTCCCCTGAGGACGGCTGCTTGCGTTGTGGCCGAAACGTCGTGAGAATTATTTTATTATGTTTTATTTTTATTATTGTATTACTTCCCTTCTACGTGACTTTACCGAAAGAGCCAAGAAGATGAATGTGTTATTGTTGTTGTTGTCATTATTCGTGCTTGTACAGCACTGCCAACGCAGCAGCAGCAGCGCCACCAGACAATGTTTCATTGCCCCTTAGCTATCGCCTTAAATTGCTTAGATATTAGTTATCGAACGTATACGGTACAACACTCGAATGTCTCGAGACTCAGAGGGCCACCTGACCTGGCTTGACTGTTCCCTGAGACTTCAAAAAAACGCACGTGGCACTTTACTCATGCGGAATCACTGTACTGGAATGGGACTGAGTGACCTTTTGATGGCAATGCTTTCTCACCCACTCGTGATTTCAACATCACTTTGCTCAGCGGCGGCCTCCCTCTTTCATATCCCAAATCTTTTACAGGAGCACGTGTGCAATTCTGGTAACGGGAAACTAGGCAAACCCGCAGAGTCAAGAAGCAGTGACGCAACTCCGTTTTCGTTCACGTAATCTCCAAAGACCTCATTGAGGAGAGGCGTTGACATTGGCGGTCGGGACGGTGCCATGCATCCGCAGTGATCTAATGATTATTTAATACTGTACTTCATATGTATAATAACCAATTTTCATGTTTTGTGTTATGATAATTTTCATATATTTAAAAGCTCATTTGTGTATTTACTTAAGGTCATTCATGAAAAAAAGATAGGTTTTAATAGGCCAATACCATTATCCGCGAAATGTTCTATTCACGAGCGTGCCCGGAACGTATCCCTCACGAATAACGAGGGAATCCTGTGTGCACGTTAAAATAATGGTTTACTTATTTATTCATGACAACCACACCCGGCCGTTTGACTCGTTTTCAGGAGGGCGTGTTACCTGCTACAATGGCTCTTTACGTGAAGATATTTGCAGCCAATTAATGAGTTGTTTATTAAGGTGGGAGTGAAACCGGATCAACGGGAGAAAACGCCCCGTACAGATGAACACAGATGCACTGCCTACTCCTGGCGAGCCAGAGTTATGGCAACCCCCTCGGGAAGGTAGTTTCGCAACGTTGATCCAACGTTTCGTGCCTCCTGCATACAGTTTGGTCATTTTTAACGAGCAACGCGAATGAATTTGCAGGAAACTATTGAAGAAGTGAATTGAGGAGGGCAAGGCTGCTTAGGTTGGGCTCAAGAAAAATATGAGCGAAACAAAAATCATAAGCAACAATTTTGTAAAGCGAATGAAGATACGAGTCAGAGGGACAACACGTCAAAATCAGTGCCGGATTAAGCTAGTGCGGGGCCTGTAGCTGTAGCATATGTTAAAAAGGGGCCGTCAATAAATAAACACATAATCATTAAAACACTATTTTTTTACTTGCATAGTAAAGTAATTGTATTTTTTATTTGCTATGCAGCCAGATAATACGACAAATCGCTAACTTTAAACACCCAGTCGTTCATAAAAGTTGAAGGCAGTATAGTACTATAGCAATAGAGCAGGTGCAGAATCACTGAACCGGAATTTTTCACTTGAAAGCATTTAGCGCGGGGCCCTTCAAAGTGCGGGGCCCGTAGCTACATGTGCAACTTTTGCTACGAGGATAATCCGGCACTGATCAGAGTGTGAATACCATGAGTCAACGTGGTACGTTGGGTCAATGTTGGTCCAACGGTACCAGCCAAATGCCAACTGTTGACCCAACGTGTGCATGCTTACTTAGGATGGTGTTAAATAGCGCCGCTAACTCCTCTTGTCCATTGTATCTCTCTGGCATCACTGTTACTGTGCTGTGAAGAAGGGCCATTGCCCGAAACGTCGTCTGTTTTATTATTATTTCATTTGAATGTCACGCACAGTGTCATTGACAAACGTGTCGAGTTTTGGTTTTGCTGTTTGTGCACCACTGCCAATGCTGCAGCAGCAGCAGCTGAATAAAAGACAAATAATCCCCATATAGCCTTAGACTGTTGGGGCAAGTGCTGTTAGCGAGTAGAAACATAGGAAGCCCGGCGCAGTGCACGAGGGGGGTGGGTGGCCAGCACCACGCCCGGCCGCCTTTGTCTCCCCAGCAGCGATGTTTTTTAGACATCGCACCAGGTACTGATTTGAGGCTGAGTCGACCTAGGGGGAGGCCAAGGACCGGTTCAGATAATCGTCACCGATGTTGGTGGCCGTGAGCGGGAATCGATCTCGGGTACGCCGGGTTGGTTAGCGCACGCGAGCTAACCGCTATCCTACCGCATCACGAACACCACCACCACCACCGCATTTGTTTACTGTTGACAAAATCACATTTTTTTTAAATGACAACAACAATAAATAAATAAATAACATTCAATACCCCCCTCCCTCCAGTAGGCGCTTCTCCTATTGGCCAATCCGCTCCAGCCTTAAGCCCCGCCCTCGCGACCACGTCGACCAATGAGAGGCGCGCCCAGGCCAGTCGGCGCTTTCAGTCGCCGGGAGAGATGGAGGCGAGAGGCCGGTGGGTTCCGTGAGTGTCCCCCCCCACCCTCCCCGCGTCTCCCTAGCAACAACATCCTACAGCGTATAAGCATTGTAATGACCCTTATTTAGTTTGTGTACTAAGCGACTAATTCCGATAGACCCCCCCCCCCCTTCGTCAATTGTCGTTAGCGGTGTCGTTTGTTGTTAGTAAGCTTCTCCCCTCCCTCTCATCGCCCATGTGTTGTGCGCTTGTTGATATCCTGTAGGGGTAGGCCCCTGGCTAAATTGTTTGTTAAGTTTCCCGTTGCAGTTGTTACGAATCGCATCATCCTCTCTCTCTGATGGCGAGAGGACGATAAGAAGCGAACGCGTTGGGAATTGCACATTCGTACGGCGAGCACGAATTAGTGATATACTTGTAAATTAGTACCTGCTTTATCGACCATGGGGTGATTAAGGGCCGAGTGGATGTCACGCCCGGATTTGAACTTGAATCCCTGTAAGTTGTCAGGCCGTCGTGAATGTACCGTACAGCCAGAGACACAATAATTGTCACTTTAAAGGTGTATTTTTCACTGGGCTATCTATATGCCACGTGTGTTCTCCCTGCCTCCATCTGACCGGCGTGGTGAAGTATGGTGAAAGTTACCAGGGGAGTGAAGTATGAGCCAAGGACCCCCACGTAATCCGCAGGGTGTGGGAAGCCACTGAATCCAACAGTGAATTGATTAAAAGGGCTGCTGTACATGTACTTTATTTATGAGAGGTGATAAGTTGAAGTGTTTGCTGAAATTATATCAAGGTATGTCTAAGCATATTTTATGTGTTAGAATACGCATGACAAATTCATTCACAGTCGAAGGTTATCGCATGAAATGCAGGGAAAACTACATCGTGTTTAGGTTCAGGATGTGTACATTAAGGCTGTAATTTTGCACAGCTGTGAGGTTTGAATTGTATTATGAGCAACTCAGTCATGTCAGGACATGGGTCCATCGCTGTTCGTTTTAAAAGTATATTACTTGATTGTTGTTTCAAAGCAGATTTTTTTTTAAAGTAGAAAACTCTTGATAACTTTCTGCGTCACGTCAACACTAAAACAACTGATGTGTGATTTGGACAGCGCAGGCTACATACAGAACGTTACATATTGTGTGTATTTTTTTTAAAATAATTCTTCAAATTTCGCAATCGAGTGGAGTGGTGGCGCAGTGGTTGGAGCACTGCTCTATGAACTCAGCGACTCATGTGAGTTTCATTCCTTGCCATGGCAATCGGCAGCGGTGAATGAGATTCCACAGTGACCATCCTGGTGAAGTATGGTTAGATCTCTCGTGACCCTTCATTCAGCAGGGGATTGACAAAGCGGCTGTGCGAATATCTGTAGTTGAATTTTAAGCGGTAATAGTATTGTTGGTACTGAATGTTTCAAATTATTTAACAAACCCTCATGGTAAGCTCTTGCCGAACTTGGTGAGCAGGTTTAGGCGGATGGTTGAGTGGTTTTGCAGCAAGCTTATATAACAAGATTGGCGTTTAAAGCGATTGTGAGTACATTGTGTTCAAGTACATTGTGTGTACATGATGTGTAGATGTTACAGTCTCTTTTGACATTCCACTGCTGGATGATTCCCCTCCCCCCAAGTCGTGGAGGTTATTATTCTGATTCTCTGCCAAAGGAACCGGTTGAATGTAAACATCTCCCTCCCAAGAATTCCAACCTTACCTATAAACTCACTCGTGTCTCGCCATTTATTTTTATCAAATCCGTCCCATCAATGATGGAATGTGAATCCCTGCAGTCACGAAAGCTTTAAGTCAAGATTTAATGCTCTGTGTGTTTGTATCAAATGTGAGCGCCTATTCTCGCATTTAATTCGTGTTTGTGAGCACTTGTTTTCGCATTTAATTCGTGTTTGCGTCGGCTTAAAAGCCTCGCCGCTTGAATGCCACTCGAATGCCACTCGAGAGGCAAACGACGACGATGTTGATGAAGTACGGAACCCGGACAAATCGCTGGGCATAAAATTACACTCGAAAACAAGTACAGTGGTACTTTGCGTAGGTTAAAAGCCACCACACATACCTAGTGGGGGTGGCTTCAGTTTCACAAGCGCCGGCATGGGACGGCAGCTATTTATAACGAGACTTCAGGAGCCCACTCACTGTGTCTGTCATCGGCACCAGTGTGTTTATTCGTGGCGAATGTTTTTCATTGGTGAAGTTGAATGTTACTAATAGAGGGGGGAGTTATTACCAGCAGCAACTATGATCTAACCACTCCTGGATGAAGGCCGCCTCAAGCCATCACCATCCATCATGGTCATGTGATGCAACCATCCACCCAGATTTATGGTCACGGCTAACGTCAGTGACAAGTGCTGTCTGAACTGATTTGTTTGTTCACCTTCATGCTCGCACTGACCAGCGTGGCGAAGTATGGACAAAACACTCCCATGGGCCCACATCCGTGGGGCTGTGATTGGGGAGAATCGTGATGAAAAGAGACATTTCCAAGTTTCGAATTAATTGTTTCTTTGCAGCGTGGAATTACGATAGTGAATGTTGTTGAACTGAAACAGTTCAACATTTGTCATCACAACACTCTTGAAATGTTTTTCTCATGACCGTCATGTTCTGTGATATTTAAAAAAAACGTTTACCCTTTGACCCAATTCTTTGCATGTACTGCCCAAGGTGAAGCAATTGTATATACTGCAGATTTCCTTATAGCCCAATGGAAAGCCTATTTCTCTTCGTTTGTACCAGACAGCCTTTCATTGTTATGCAATATATACTCTTAGATCTACATCAAACATCGTTATTTTCGGTTCGCTCGAACGACAGTGCTATTGTCCACTGTGATTTGGTGATTGACGCAAACTGGAAATTTGAGAAATGAAGGGGTTGTGACAATACATTTTTGTACACGTCACACTCGTTCAAATGGCTTTTGCCCCCATTTATCTCGGCCTCCAATTAAATTGCTTGTCACGAGTGACGCTTATTGCAAGGACCTTCCCATAAGCGTTGATTTTTTCTCAGAAGTTAATTTTAGTGTGTGGGTGCTATGCTGCTTGCATGTCCACGTAAGTGTTCAATTCTACTGCGTTCACGTTTCACTCTTTGTGTGTGAGTGTAAAGACAGCAGCTTTAGAATGTTGCCAAATAAAAACAGAAACCGCAGTTTTATTTCGTCTTGCGTTCTATTCGCAAACATGTTTTGTTGAGTGGAATTCAAGCCTGATTGTTTATGTGAAGTTAAAAAAAATGTCAGAGATTCTGCTAAAAGAAATACGATCTTTTGCTAAGTGTTCTTACATCTTCGTAAATTGTTGTGATTTTTTAAGTAATAGATTATATTTGTTTGTTGAACTTATGTTGCACCGTACGTACGTAGCCAACCGTGCTTATTGGAGGGGCGAACACAGCGTTAGTTGAGTGAAGCCTCGTTATGTTGTTTCCATTGTGCATTTATATCCCAATTATATTGCAATTAAATGCTCCCATGGGAAATACTCCTCGATAAAATGTAATATTGTGCTGGATAATTCGACATTTTAGTAAATTGTTAATTTTCGGGATTGAACAAAAAGTACATTGGAGGTAAACGTGTTGTTCTGTTGCATCTTTTCTGCATCCTAACGAACCATTTTCATGTCCCTGATATACTGTAATGCATGCAATGTTCTCCGATCCAAGCTTCACCCACACCTAACATCAAGTTTCTCCGATCCCCTTAAAATCCTTTTTGCCCAGGTTTCACTGTCCAAATAAGCCTTGTATAACCAGCAGAGTCCTATCAAACGTATGCGTTATGTTTGTCAGGGTAGACCGGATTGAACATAATCACATAAATTTATTAACTTTATTGTGAGTAGTTTTCTATTATTTGGGGAATTGCGCTATTAAAGCCAAACGTATTGATCTCATGCATGTAATCTCACAGGGTCTTAAAACATCTGCTGTGCTGAAGATGGCATGCTTAAACACACCAGAGTTGAAGCTCCGACTCTCGAATCACCACTTCAGCTTTGAAAAGAGCTTGAATTTGAATATGATTTCTGAATTTGTTCCCAAAGTGCCAGGGGGGAGGAGGGTTGTGTAACATTAGCCTATCTGGCACTTTATTAAATCACACGTGCAGAGCACAGGCCCATGGTCAGCAGAGACAAAAAATACTACTAAAGTCATCATAGATAACAAGTTGATAGATTTCTTAAATTGAGCAAGGTTATGACGGTGACCTGGGAACAGAGACGATGGGAGGGGATTCAAACGTTAAAGGGTGCCAGGGAAGAATTAGTGTGGTGGTTGTGACAAATGACCAGAAACATTCCAGCTGGTAGACCGAGTCCTCAAAATAGCTATAGTAATCAATGAGTAAAGTTCATGGAAATGGCAACCATGGTAGAAGCGATTAAGGAGTGATAACCATTCGCAGCACTCGGCAATAATTACTTTACAGGTTCCCCTCGCTTTATGCGGGTTCGGTTTGTGCGATTTGGTGTATATGTGGCTAACCTATTTCGACCAAAAATACGCTATATGCGGTTTCAATTCACTCATGTGTAGAGCCCCTCCAAAAGGTATTTGGCCTACTCTTCTTTTGTTGGCCAGACGTCTTGGAAAACGTGGGAGTACCCACACTCGATCACAACACACGTGACCTTCCGATCAACTCGCTGTGGGGAATTAAAGAGCTTGGCCATTGCTTCAACTGCCAAGCTGGGATATCCGATCAAACCGGGCCACCTCTGGATTTCAAATCGTGTGCCAACTATTACACCGTGGTGTCGTTCTCTGGGAAATTGGCAAAAAAAATGTTTGAAATGTGTGTGTGCGCGCATGTTGCTGACTATGCGTGTGTAGGGGAGCAGAGGACTTGAGGCCCCAGTGCCAAATGGATGCCGCGCAAGTGAACGGAGTGCGGAGGAGATTGCCGCCATCGGCTGGGACCGATGGCCTGCAGGGAGACGCGTCGACCCAGGTGTCGGAGAGGAGGAGGTTGGAACATGACTTGCCAACTTCATCGTCCGCAGCCTCTCCAGACCCTGTAAATATCACGCGTCGTAAATGGTGGCGGGTTTTAACTTCTCACAAAAAAGCTGTTTTGAAACGTTTCATTTTTAACTGTACGCTTCACGTGGTTTAATGAATTGATTTAAAAAAAAAATTGCGTTTATTGCCCTTGGCAATTACAAAGAAATGAAGATGTACGTGTGTGTGTGTTTTTTCAAAGCTGTTGCGTAGCGGTTTGCACATTACGCTACGAATCTGGCAACCTGAGGTCCATTCTCGGCCACAGCAAACGGTCGTGGTGATTTTCTGAACTGGTCCTGTGCCTCCCCTAGGTCGACTCAGCCTTCAAATGAGTACCTGGTGCAGTGTGTAAACATCAGCACTTGGGAGACAAATTCGGCCAGGTGTGGTCCCACCCATGAAGGCCTGCCATGCCATGCAGGCCTTCATGGGTGCTCGCAAATAACACCTGCCCCAACAGCCTGTGTAAGACTACCCGGGGGATCTTTGTCTTTTTTCGAAGCAACAGTAATGTTTTACAGTGCTGCGGTCCCCCGTTTTGGCAGCCAAATTGCACCATGAACGATCATCTTAACAGGACACAGTCTAACAACTCATCGTCAGCCGCACGTTATTTTCACAGTAAAATAAGCATTTCAACACAAACAATCACGTGAATAACATGGTTCATCACCGTGGACTGCTGACACTGACGAAAGCTTTTTTTACTGCCTAATTTTTTTATTGTCTTTCATTTTGTCTTTTTTTATCCATCTGATAACACGCACGCTTTCAAAGGGGTTATTTAAAGTTGACTGCTCTCTTATCATTTTACTGCTTTGTTATGTAAATTGTGTTGGTTTCAAAGGGCACTGGAGCCTACCACGAATCTCTCAAGATGAGGTGACGTTTATGCTGGAAATGTTCTTTTACAACCACGTTTTATGTTTAGAGAAGGGTGCGTTTTAGGAATATTCATGCCTGTGCACAAGGTAAACATGCAGCCCTGCAGTTGCTTGCTCTCATTACTGCTGATTGAAGGGCCACCACTAGATGGAGCTCTAGATAGCCTCTGGCAGGTAGTTTCAGACATACGCTTGTCAGACATCGGTACAATTTGCGCCATCGCACGCGACCTGCCAAACCGCTAACTTTGGTGTACCCGTTCATATTTCGGGGTGCAAGAGTGTAAATGTCCACCCCAACTGAAAAACCTTGGGGGTGGGGGGGGGGGTGGCGGGGAAACCCAAGAAATTGAGGCAGCCATTCAAGAAACCGAGAAACCTAAAAAGCTTGATGTACAGAACCATTTAACCCTGTCCTGTTTCGAGACGTCTGCAAGTTTGCAGGTTTGGTACCATTCACCGCTGAATTTCGGAATGTGCAAGCGGTTAGAGTTAATTTTATTTAGAGAAGCATAGCGCCGTTGTTTTCAAAGACGTTGTACTCAAGGCAGGTAGCGACACGACCACACTCTGATAGCTGGCGCCAAACTGTGCCACGCTGCCCCGCATGGCCTTGTGGGAGCCTCGGTAACGTCTTCCGACCTGAGGCCGTACCGATAAAGTAATTTTATTTTACTTTTCTTCCAATTCCATACGTCATCAGAATGGGAAACGGTCAATTGTCACGTACGCATTGGGCGAGTCTACTTTAGGAGAAAATATGGGCGGGGGTCAGTTATGAAATGAGTTTTCATAGCAGCAATGGACTTAATGTCCACCACTTAGTGAACCACCCCCATAGGAAATTAAATAATACAAACACCTGCCAGGCATTCGCAGCTGTCGGTGCACTAAATAGAGCTGAATATTTTTTTTTTTGGTCAAACCAGAAATGTGGGAAATCATTTGCACAGCTGTGAGAGTCTCAAAATTCGGTTTAAAAAGACAACTCATGGGTCCCAAGGGGTAATCCTTGAGGCTTGATCTGCGCGAGTCAAGGGTGGATGGATTTAAGACACGTGCCCCCCATTATTTTAACTTTCGCACTGGGAGACCGAACCCAGCAACCTCTGTATTGCAATTCCAAAATGCTAGCCATCACACCACGGCAGCATCCCCATGCGTGCATGTATATTTAATTCATCTTAGTTGTTCTGACCGGTTAATTTGTGTTTGTTAAAGATAATTACTTCCTTGGTAAGGTAGCACCTTAAAAAAGCTGGCTATAATTCAGTTGGCTACGTACGGTGCGATGAAGTTCAACAGACATGCATGCAAACGTCTCAACAAATGGGTAACTTGGGAACAAAATGCTATCCAAAATTAGAATGTTGCTCAGCAACTGGAACTGCGTTGTCTCATGCGATGGGACGACTTTGGAAACGCACATAAAAATTAATGTGACGGCAGCCATGCTGTTGAAGAGTAAATTGGCGTTTAAAAATAAGAAATAAAAAACACATTTGTAATGTTTGCGTCGAACACAGATTTTAAAGGAGACCACGGTATAACAGTACACTGGACTTGCAATCCAGAGGTCACCGGTTTGATTTGATCTCTCGGCGTGGCAGCTGAAACTATTGGCGATAGCCCAGCAATAGATATATGGCTACACTGCCACAGTGCGTCATTTGGCAGGTTGCATGTGGTGGGGGTAGTGTGGGTTACTCTCCCACCTCTTCCAAAATTCCTGGTCAGTGTGGCAGAGTAGGCCACACTATCCTACAGATGGGGCTATGCAGAGCTACTGCCAAGGGGGGGGAGACCCTTTCAACCAGAAGTGGCCTGAACAAGAAGCTACAGGGCTTCACCTTTCCCTACCAAGTGACAGAAACCTGAATTGGTAACTGTTATTCACCATTGCGACGAATTGTTCTAACCATTCATAATTAAAAATTGTGGGGGCTGGTGTGTGTTTTTTATAATCCTGCGAGGTTAAGAGCTCCAATTTGCATCGATAATCTTGACAGATGCTCCGTTTCCTTGCCACGTGAAGTTTAGATGCCTTTTGTTGGATCTGCCCTCCTCCATAGCCACCCCCTTCCACCATCAACATGGCCAGCTTGACATTTGAGATTACCCATTCGGTGCATTTGTGTTACATTTCACAAAGTCACACAGGGATGCTGCATTGTCTGGTGTCTTGGTTAGCGCACTGGACTTGCAATCCAGAGGTAGATATGAAAATGTTAGCTCCTGGCGTGGCAGCTTAAACAATGCGCAAGTTTCTTAAATCCCCCCCTACCGCCCCTTGCCTCTGTCCAGCTAGCATTATATAAACGGCTACGTTGAAGTTGGTTGATCAGCAGGTCGCTCGTGGCAGGGTAAAGTGTGGGTGACTCCCCACCTCTGATAAGACGTCTAGCCAGCGTAGAAGAGTAGGCCAAACATACTCCCCAAGAGACACATTGGAGAGCTCCCTCTAGTGGTGATCCTGCCGCCAGCAGTGGATGAAGTTTACCCAACAAAGCCATGCAGTGGAGTGTTATACCTGCAGTGGTTATTGATATTCGTAGGCTGTGATCTCATCTGTGCCAGACTCGGATTGTGTTGTAACTGTATGTTAGTATGGTTGTGTGGCCATGTGCTTTGAGTCGTGTCTCGCACGATGATAGTTACGATACACCTTAAGTAGATTGCCAGTTGTCACAGACAGGTTATTGTCTGCCCCTGGGCGACCTTCACGGGCAACATCAAGCCAGCTGTCCCGTCTTCTCGCGAGTGTGAAATATGTCGTAGGCACTATCCCTCGCAAACACAGGGTTACTGGGTGACCGTAAAAGATAAAGGAACAGCCCTGAAGTTACTAGTTAATGCCACTGCGTGTAGAAAAGGCCTCCACTCTCTATAGAAGAGAGCCCCTGCTATAGGAGGGTCTTTGGCCTACTCTTCCAGCCTGGTCAAATGCCCTGGAAGAGGTAGGAGTGCCCACACTTTAATCAACCACATGCACCCCCGCCAATTGACTATCTGTGGTGCACCCATTTATTTCCCGCTGAGTGGACACATGCGGGATGGATTTAAGAACCTTGCCCATTGATTCAACTGCCGCGCCTGGAAACTGAATAGAACTGGTGTCCTCTAGATTCCAGTGTGCTAACCATTCCACCATGGTAGCTTCGCTTGAACAATCGTACATACCAAAGTGAAACTTACCCTATCTGCAGCGCTTATGTTATTTGTAAAATGTGAAAGTATATACTCGGTCATGGTGGTATTGAGCAATCGTAAAAAAAGAATAAATATGCAATATCGCAGAGCTTGTGCGTAACGTCCTACACTGCAGCTGACCGTAGCATGGCCTTGGCTAAACCAGCTGCCATTTGTGCTATCTAAAAATATATAACCAGAACAATTCATTTTCCTCGCTACACAGCGAATCCTGAACATAAACTACTTCTTATATTTTCAGCCCGTTTTCTCACAGTTAATGATTAAATACATCGAACTGGTGTGCCGAAGAAAGAAAGTCTTGATTCGGTATATTGAATGTGTCTTGTATAAACTACTATAACAAGGGGCGGAAATATAAACACCTGGCAAGGAAAATAATAGGAGCTGAAAAGTGTGCAAAGAAGCAGGTCGAGGTGTATTTGGGTAACCAAAGAGGCACGTGTGGGTCACACAAGTTACAGACATGTTGACTTTTCAGTAAAGTAAGTGGGCTTGGAAAGGACACGTCACTGGACGGGATTGACAGCAGGTGATAGAGTGGCTGGAGCGGCTGCCAAAGGAGGAGACGCGATCCGGGAATACTTCTATATGGAAATTCACGGAAGCTACGTGGATAGTTGCATGGCGTGAAAACCGTGACGGATGGCGTACGACTTTGGGAGGCAATGGTTGATTGTAATTTGGCGGTCACATTTCCACGCTCAAGTAGACGGAGTTGAACGGTGCAATTTAATTTTCGCGTAACTTTGTTGCATTCTTCAAATGTTATGCAACATCCGCTCCGTTACAGACCGCAGCAACTTTTGTCGGCTATGTTGTTCAACTCGGTTTGCCCACCTCTGAGCCCATTAAACTCGATCACACCGGCCATGTCTATGTAATAAATCAAAAGTTAGGAGTCCAGAGTCTCTCATCC